GACAAAATCAGATGATCTGGCAAATATTTCAAAACTGAACTGGTACAGATTCCACATGCAACACTCCTACAACTTTTGAAATATTTCTTATCACCAGTGGTCAAATACCTTTCTTAGAATCTTTCCTTCACTCTCATCGACATTCATTCATGTTATTATATGCTGAACAAAAAAATATGTGTGGATGGAGGGCACACAGAAAAAAAAATTACATTTTATTTTTTTTATTAAACATTCTACATAGTCTTTGTTATATTGACAACATTCTGATACCTTGTGGGATATAACGATTGACTACTTTCTTGATCTTGGCCCTCAAACTGAGGCCAATTTACCCTATCGTCAGGGATGAGCCTTAACAGAGTGCGCGATGTAGGGCAATAAATGGTGACGATGAGATCTATTTCTTATCCCATGGTCTGAATCTTCAAATTCTTAATTCAAAGTGTCATGTCAGGACACGAACGGGAGTTCTCGAGATGTTTAGGGCCTGAAGCTGAAGTGATTCCGGGTTAATTTGAAGAGTGTTTTTTTAGGATCCGATTCGAGATTTGAACCGAGTCGGGACTGTGGATCAGAATCGCTCTCTCCGTGTTCGTGATGACCGAGCCCGATTCAGAGTTGGGATCGAGACTGTAACCAAGACCAGGGTTGAAGATCTCCGTCTGGGTTCGGACTCGATCGTCAAGACCCAACCAGTTTTGGTTTTATAGAGCGCTTCATCTCCAATCTCACTCTCTATCAACTTGATCACTCCACCCTATCATTCCGAATTCAGTCCAACACCATGTCAACTCAGCTAGGTCTACCAATTCCAGCTGGCACCTTCCTCTTTACGGTGCCTTTAGTATTACAGATCTTCTTGCGTCACCCTTTTTACAATTCAAACCAACCTGCTAGAGTGTTACGAATGGCATTGATGCCTATAACTATATATCTCACACTCAGTAGTCAACCTGCTCGGATGTGGGAGCCACGCGAAGAGTTCTTACATATCAATTTTGCTCTCGTCTCGTTTCTTACCGTACATGTGGTCTGCCTAGCTATTCAACTTGGACTCTCGAACAGTCCACCTTTGTATAGTAAGAAGCAAATTTGCGCTGATCCTTTTTCCATAAACTTATGAAAGCTGACAAATATATATATATATATACAATCAATAGCCCAGAACTTGAAAGATCAGATCAGCCAAGAGCACGAAATGTCGTCAAAAGCTCATCAAAAAATCTCTTCAACCCCAAAATCGGAATCGCCACCTTCTTGGGGTGAATCGATCAAATTCATCATATGGTTTCTTTTCAGGTAAACAGTTGATCCAATCAGGTCACCCTCCCATAAACAAAACACACCAATAAAGCGTTTTGGCTGATGTTTTTCCTGTATTGATTCCTCTCTAAATAGTCCTCGTTTTGTGAAAACCACATGGGCTTCTCCTACAGCCATCGTACCTCTAGGACCAAAACTTTGTCTCCAAGATTTCTTTATAAAAACACTTAAGAAATCATTAAGAGATCACTTGCTGTTTTTAGCATGTTGGATCGTGGCCACTACCCTTACAAAGTATCCTTCAGGATCTTATAGATTTCTTATTGAGAAATGTGGATTTCATGAATCATTTCTTTTGAAATCTTTGGCTCCTTACTTGAATGCTCTACCACACGCAGTCAGTCACCATTTTGATTCTTTTTTTTTTTTTTGAATGTGAATCCCGAATGCCTTACTTTTATAATTATTTTACCGTGCCTACTAAAACCCACGTGTATTAATCTAAACATCGGCCTTCTCATTTTCTCCGCTCTGACTGATATCATCTTGTTTCAATCCAATTCTCGAAAAAAAAAAAAAAAAAAAAAAAAAGTTTAGCACATGGTTAGTGCTGGAAGTCCAGTGTAACATTGTTACCATGATCGAATTAGGATTTTATTACATCGG